TAAAAATTTTAAGATGCTTGGTTGTATTTACATTCTAGTGGTCCGTGACATTTTAAGATGCTTGGTTGTATTTACATTCTAGTGGTCCGTGACATTTTAAAAAGGTTGTAAATCCGTAGTTTAGAAACGCTGCTCTAAGATGTATATTGAAATTATTAATATGTTGCTCAAACTTGAATTTACTTTAACTCCTTGTAAAATTGTCAAGAGTCATATAGTATTGTCGAATAACTCCCTCTCTATATGTATTTATTCAATTATTTTTTATTTGTTTTTAGCGTAAAGCTGTACAAAGGGGCATTCGCGCTATGTCCACGACGAGAAATCTACACGCAGGTTTTAGCATGGGGATTTGTTAATTAATCTATTAAATTTTGTCACATCTAAATATATGACTATAATAATATATACACACACAATGAAATCTCCAAGTTCCCATAATTATGAAGCAAAACAAAGTAGATGTTTTAACCATTAAGATCAGCTTATAAAAAGTCCATATTTCATTAAAACAAGCTTTATATGAACAATTAAATATATCATAATTAAAATAATGTTTTCTTACAACAGGATGGCCAATTATGTAATGTTGATTTTAAATATTTTAACCTTACATTTTTATATATTTGTACATCCTTATGCATTGTTGAATACTTTATACTAAAGCCATTTGAATATGAAATTAGCAAGTCATGTGAAAACCATAACTGATATAAAGTCGTGATGGAAACGAATATATCAAACTATATTCTGACATTGCTTAGCATGTCGTAAGCTGTGTGATACCACTAAAATTTTATCGTTTTTAGAAAGGGTACGTAATAGCCTTTTCCGACTAAAAGTATTCATACACCAAGATAATAAAATGTGTCAGATCGAAACTACATAATTTTTGAAACGAGGGCATTTCTTGTACTTAACAACATTGGAACACAAAGGAATATGGATCAACATAACGACCATCCAGAAAGAGATATATGCAACAGATCTTACCTTAACCGTGGTAATCAAAGTGTAACAGGTGAGAATCAACAAACACAGTGTTCACATGACCCAGGCAACATTAACTAAAATGATCAATAAAGATCTTCGTCTGGAAAAGCGGTAAATGTTGCATGTACACAAGTTGCTTCCACAACATACCCATTCAACCGTCTCATGCCTCAAGTAGCTAGAGAATATAACAGGTATTTACGATATACCACGCGAATACGCTGTACATACCGAAGTATTCGCCGTACCGAGTTTCTATGAATCTCTTTGCGATCGGACAACTGATATCAGCGCTGTAAAATCGCCATCATTGCACACAAGATGGTATATAGAAAATCAGCAGGAAAGTTTTCTACATGACAACCTTACGATGATGCCATTTGCAATGTAAACTACGCTACAGGGTCATTGTCAGCATAAGTCAGATAATGCACGTATGGACGTGGCGACATGGACCATAACGACTGGGTAAGCTCCAAAGACGTTTTAATATAACGTGGCTCTCTTTGTAGATTATACGATTTAACCCTTCTTTTTTAAAAAAATTCAATTTTTTACATCCCTAGCCCATTTTTTTTACTGTTTTTCTTTGTTTACATGTAAGGTGTTTTGGTGAGATGCTATGAACCGTACGTACATTTCTAGTTTAGTAGTTCCAACACAGCATCATCTGAATCCTAAGCCTCTTCTTGATTCGTAATGTAAAGTTAGAAATACAAAATCATACCTATCAAGATAAAATTATAAAAATTACCGATTTAAAAAATTAATACCATGCATATTTCACCTTAAGGTAAAACAAGGGATAGAAACAGGCCAAAGTGGAGAAAATGAAGCAGTTTTTACAATTTTAAACAAAATGTCTTTCTTCTATTTGAACGTACTATCGTCTTTTATTAGTCAATGATTTCATTCCTGTCTCTCTCTCTTACACATGCACAGAGATATAATTACATCTTAAAATCCACCGAAACTGGAATTTAATATTTTATGATACAGATATATATATTCATACACACACGGATATTTAGAGTTTAATCTTTAAATCATGTAAGATATATAGTGAGACATAACTGTCAATTACTAATTTTTTTCTTAATTCATGACTCTTTCTAATCTGTGAGAATTAAATTGTCCTGAATATTTCCGTACCTAAATTTCATGTATAGAAGCATACTGGCAATAGTAACTGGATATGACAAACAAAACGAAAAAGAAACGTGTGTTTAGAACAAACTTTTATACACAGAAGATCCCTTTATGCGTATTATATATATATAATATTTCAACCAAATGTGTGAATGAAAGTTACAGTGAACACCTTGTTCACGGTGGTTATAATATTCTTTGTGACTTTCCGTCGACAAAGTGATACATATAATAACGCTCAGATCAGGTGAAATATTGAAGAATGATACTGAAAGCAGATTAAACCAGGAAACTATTACTCGCGCGTGTCTGAGAGGACATGCTGGAGGCAGTTGATGTGGGAATGTGAGCAATGCTTGAGACTAGTGAAACAGAGCCATGTCGGTTGAGTACTGAATTGAATGCTTAAAGAGAAGAAAGTCTACGATGGTATCATGAAGTTCTAGTGCCTGCAAAAGAATGGAGGTAAGGAAATAGCCGAATCAATCTGATTTTCAGAGAAAGGAAATCCATGGAGGTTTATAATATAGTCTGCAGTCCATTTTAAGATTATTTGCATCGAATTGAAGAAAAAAAAAAGGTGACTAATGCACTTGGAAAAAAAAGAAGGTATCAGTTTTCAGAAAAAGGAAATTCATGGAGGTTTATGATATACTCTACAGTTCATTTTAACAATTATTTGAATCGAATTGAAAATAAAATAAAATAAGGTGACTAATGGAGTTGAAAAAAAAAGAAGGTAACAGTTTTCAGAAAAAGGAAATTCATGGAGGTTAATAATATACTCTTTCGTTCATTTTAAGATTATACGAATCGAATTGAAAAAAAAAATATGTTGACTAATTGACTTGAAAAAAAATATGGTGACTAATTGACTTGAAAAAATATGTTGACTAATTGACTTGAAAAAAAATATGTTGACTAATTGACTTGAAAAAATATGTTGACTAATTGACTTGAAAAAAATATGGTGACTAACTGACATGAAAAAAAAGAAACAGTTTTGCTTGAAAAGCATTAGGCTTGCAGAAAATATTTTAAACATTTTATGCTCTGATTTTAAACAGCTAATATAAATGTGCAATTAGAGAATGCGTTAATTCTGAAGTCCATTAAATTATAAAAACCTTGTTTCTTTAGCATCACATTTAGGCTTTTCACATTCATCAACCCCTTTTATTTAATTGAAAAAAATATTTACGACAATAATTAACAACAACAGACAAAGCAGAAATCATAATAACGAAGTATCGACAATTATTTTCACAAGAAAATCACTTTATCATGTTACTTAATGCGTTTTTTTTAATTTAGTAAATTATTTTATGCTACTTTCTTAAATCTTAGTTTTTATTAAGAATATTTAGGTGAAAACAAATTCAAGTTAAAAAGTGTTCATGTATACAAATCCAGAAAAATAAACACAACTTTTAGTTATTTGGAACATATAAACTTAAAGAAGTTGAATAAATGTGATACAATATCTTTGGTTTTCGGTTATTTAATACTAAACTAAAATTAATTAATTAAGACAACACTCGATTGTCTGAAATAATTTATTCACCTGAAATTCAATCAAAAAATTCGAAGCTTCATCATACAGATACCAGTCAAACTATGTTGTTGTGTTGTTGTTGTTTTAACAGACACATATTCTAACAAATAAAACGGAATCTTACTATCTTTGAACAAATATTACTTTATTCTACTCATACTGAGTGAATCAAATAATTTTTATTGTGATTTTATCAGGCGTCGTAAGTCATTGCTTCCAACTATTAGATTTCATACTTTCAATTAATGGTTTACGGGAAGTAATGTTTCATATTACATGAAACTCGTGAATAAATTATGAATATTCTTGTTGCCGGCATGAATTAATCAACCGTGTTTAAAATAAAATGAAAACATTGCAGAAAACTTTTTTTTCTTTCGCAGTAAACTGCAAATTTTATATTTTTCGTAATATTGTGAATATGAATAATTTACCATAAATGTATTTCGTTTTCTTTAATAACCAGCGAACTAAAAATTATATCTTTTATTTTATATACTTTTTTTTAAATTTTATTTTATATACATGCACTTCAATGTAAACGTCCGCATAGAATGATACTTGACAGAACATGAAAGGTTTGTTGATTTATTCGGTACGCAACTACGAAGACATTACATTAACACGAAGAATCTAACATAACAATTATTCTTCAATAAAAAAAAGAATAAAATTTGAAAAATATATTAGTGATCAATATTACGTTTGTGGCTTACTTAACATTTGCTTGAATTAGGTATAATACCTTAGAGGTTTTACAGACACTCCACAAGTCCTGTTAGGATCCTGTTAAATACATTTTCGTTTTTTACGTAAGGTTAGGAAATCACGAGACAAAATATTAGTTCTTAACTGGCAACGTCGGTGTTTCAACCAACAAAGTACGAAATAAATATGTTCCATATGAAGTTACTTCATATGAAGATTCTTTGTTAGTTGAAGTAGAGATAAGTATACGAACTTAACAATAATTCGCAGCAAATGAAAGAATTTTGAGGATCAAGTACTTATCCAGTCTAATTTCCAAGAGATTATCGAATTCCATATGAAGTTACTGTGATTCTTCTTTAGTTGAAGTAGAGATAAGTATACGAACTTAAGAGTAATTCGCAGCAAATGAAAGAATTTTGAGGATCAAGTACTTATTCAGTCTAATTTCTAAGAGATTATCGAATTCCATATGAAGTTACTGTGATTCTTCTTTAGTTGAAGTAGAGATAAGTATACGAACTTAAGAGTAATTCGCAGCAAATGAAAGAATTTTGAGGATCAAGTACTTATCCAGTCTAATTTCCAAGAGATTATCGAATTCCATATGAAGTTACTGTGATTCTTCCTTAGTTGAAGTAGAGATAAGTATACGAACTTAAGAGTAATTCGCAGCAAATGAAAGAATTTTGAGGATCAAGTACTTATCCAGTCTAATTTCCAAGAGATTATCGAATTTATACATTTCGACATTTCACAAATATTTGGCTTTTAAAACACATAATATGTTAAGTCATAAGCGTTCTTTGATATCAACGCCTGACATTATACATTTGGCACTGTTTTTCTAATGGCGTGCTCAGCTACTTTGTAAGTTATCACACCGGAGTTGAAATCTTGCTCCGATCGCTGACAGTAGTGACCCGATGCTGAAAAAATAAGATAGATATGAGGCACAGACATTCAGCAAAATTTACATCTTATAGTTACAGCAAATAGTCAACATTTTACATGTTTTTCAATTACTTAACAGAAATTTATATATATATATATATATTTATATTTTCAAGCAATCCCACTTTTTCAAGACGTTATTAATCTTTACAATGTCAATGAATCTTTACCTTGACTGAAAGATGACTACAAAAAAACTCTTAGACATTTCCCATTGTCTCGACACAAAGAAAGTTTTCCGTTCTTTTATCATATTACATTTGAAAATCATTCACACTTAAAGGTTAAAGGTTAAACGTTACCAGTTGGTATACAAAAATTATGTTAATTCTAAATTTTCGCGAGCAAATAAGTTTTATAACATAAATACCAGTCCAACGCACGAGGAAAATATATATATAACCCCCCTCCCCTACAGTGATTACATAAGAAGAAAAAAAGGGTTACTCAAGTTTGATGGTAATCGTCGATCTATTCGCCAGTTATAAGTGAACACACGCACACACTTTTTGTTTTAAA